TAAAACAGCGAGATTTGGAGCAAGCTTTAACTCATTTAGATTTGTAACGCGGTGAACTCAGGAAATAACACGGAAGATTTTATCATGATTAAAATTCTGGTTAGAAATACTAAACTTGGAACTAAAATTCTACAATTTCTAACAGCTGCTGGCGTCATGTGATCAGAAATACTCCATTATAAATTTTTTCAAATGAAAGCAGCTTCTTACCATCAAGCTCTGTCGTTTCATGTTGAAAACTTGTTTATTCACTTCCAGGCATACCGCAGTGAAAAGAATTTTTATGATATACTAAGAATTTGAATTAACCTTTTTGAACGACTTGTAACCAGTACAATGCTGTTAGTATGTTGCTTTAAAAAGCCATAAAGTTTAGGCAGAAAACCTAGTGGCATAGACGGCATTGATTTGCAGCTAAAATTCCCCCGATATCAAAGAAAAGCTTTCCGAGATATTCGGAAGCAGATTAGTGAGACTAAATTGTTAACAGCTTGACTGTCACCGACAAGTAATCGCATCCACTCTTAATTTACTCTTCTGAACAAAAACTGCTATGCTTAGCAGAAAGACTGTTGTTGTTGACGTACGCTTAATTTTCGTATATTCATGCTTTTGATTTGGTAAAATTTTTTTTAAACTTCTCGATTTCTTCTCTTAATTTTTCCACTGCACTTTAGCTGCGATTTCAGTTGTAAAACTCAAACTTCGACTATTTTTATAAATGTATTCATCCATTTTCTAGAAGAAAGTTCCACGATAATTGATTTTATACTGCACCAATTTCAAATTTATAAGTAGTTGTAGTCTTTAGCTCAGAAAGCTTATTAAGGCAAAAAATTTGGTAAATGAGTTTATATGTAGTTAATGCAAGAGTACTAGAGACGTGGAGTTCATCCGAAGACAAAATAAAAGAAACGGTACATTTAACGAGCTATACAAATAGTTTACAAAAGATCAAGAATTAGTTACCGATCAAGTAAACGCGCAGATGTGTCACAAATGCCGACAAAGTTCTTTTTTAATTAGGGAGTTTTTATCTAAGTTACTCTAATATGTTCCCACTACGAGCCTCATTTCCGTACTTAAGTACTGTAAGTAAGCGTGATTGCCGACACTTACAGTGCCAACGTGGTCAAGAAGACTAATTACTAAAAATGTTGTTATTAGGTCTTGAACAATGAAATCTTGAGATTTCACGCAACTATTCAATACATAACTTTTTGTTGCTCAAAATGTCCGAGTGCATTACAACTTGAGGAGCAATTGAGGTATTTTGAATTGACAGCAAAAAGGGATAGAATCTTGTGTGCGTGTCAGGAACCCTCCCCGGTAAAATAAAGAGTTATGAAAAGGCAAAACTATCACCTAACGACTTACCAGAGCAGGAAACTAAACAAATTGTAGTACTAATTTTACAAAGAGATCCCTTATAGGCCGCCACAAAACACGGCTTATAAAGCATACGACCAATGATACTGGAATAAACCCAAAATCAATGGGTAGGAAGGGCAGCAGAAGCGGAGGTGAAACCTTGAAAACCACAAGTAAACTTCAAATAGCATCTGACTGACTGTCGGTGAAGAAAAGACAAAACAGATTCAGCTAAGGTCTCATTCGCTTAAATAGGCTGTAGGAATGATCAACTGCCTGCCCTGCAAAAGCTCCCCCCTGTCACTGACCCCCTACAGTGCTGCTGAGAGTGTCTTTTCGCATACTGTCGCTACACCTATGAACGAGGCCGACGGACAGCGCTTCAGCAGGTTGAACTGGAATTGATACAGACGGAGATTTTAGAGAGCAAATTTACATCGTGAAGACACATTTCAAACACTTCATATTATCCTTTTCGGGAAAACCTCACCCGCTTCTCTTCAATCATCTTTTGCTCTTCAATAAATGCTT